AATAAAATGTACGTGCATGCCCAGTTTTCAGTTATTACAATTTTCTAACTAATTTGATCTTTTTCACAATAATTAGATAAAGGAATTGGGATCTAATGTTAATAACATTCCCCGTCAAGAATTGTGGAAGCATGGTCTTGTGAACAAAAGCGTGGTAATTGAAAACGAAGAAACTCAGCAAGTTTGGGAGAAATGTGTAAGTAATATGTTTTCATATTATATTTTTTTGTGTGAAATGAGATTAAATGTGATATGTTTGGTTCTTGTTTAGGTTCAACTCTCACAAACTAATTCAGAAGAGATGAGTAATGATCACTCCAACATTCTGAGTCAAGCTTTATGTCTCCCAGAGTATCCAGGTTGTGTTAGGGGAATGGGATTTGGAGTCGATCACAGAGATTATTTCCCATCCAAAAAGCGTCCTACGCACCATGAGCATGATAAATTAACTGCTCAAGTGAAAAATGTATTGCACTTAAAAAGAAATGTCAAGGGAAAATGACCATTCAACATACTCCTCGTAAACTGTTTCATCCAAATCTTTCTAAATGATGCAATTGTTTCTCTTCATACATGAAACTAAAGCCATCAGAGTCACTTCCTCCAATACAAACGGACAAAAACATATTTGGATTAGAAAATCATAAAGAAATCGTTAATGCAGAAATTATTGAAGAAGTTACTAACTAGGCATGGCTAGGTGCAACTACAATTTCTATATATATAGGGTAAAGCATTTTATACATTTTATCATTAAATTCATTATTAGATTGACACCTTATCATATTGCTAATACATTCTTATATTTTTCTTTTATAAGGTACCTATATCAAAATTTTGTTAAGCCAAATGATAAGGCATTCTTTTTTTATCACCCCAAATCACAACACATGAGCTACCAATGAAAGACAGAAAGCAAAAAATAGTTACTCTTTTTCTTGATAATGGGGTGATTGATAAGTTTGTTCTTGCACCTATTAATATTGGTTAATACTTTACCTTACAACTTTATCAACAATGTATTATTTTCAAAGTTAGATGTACGAATTCTAATTTTGTTGATTCATTTCAAATTGTAGCCAACATTGGGTGTTGTTGGGAATCAATCGTAAATTAGAGATAATTCATTATCTTGACCCAGTGGCGGTAGACATTAATATGAGGCAAGATTTGAAGAAATTGTTTGACATGTAATAATATACGTGTTGTATACTTTTAGTTGACATATTTGTATACTTTTAGTTGTATTGTTTTTACTTATACATGCTTTAATTTTATTTATTCACTAGGGTTATACAAACCTATCGAGCTCAAACCGAAAACATGGTTTCAGAGTTTAAGTCAAACAATATCAAGTGGACAACAATCAAGGTACATTACTCTAGTATATTTTGTGTAGTATAGTCTTGATTGTGATAATTAAATTGTTGAATAACCTTATGTGACCTTTAGTTCACGTTATGGCTACTTGTATTATACTGGTTAGGTGAATAACTTGTATTCTTTAATGGTTGAAGACTTATTTCCTTGTTGCATGGTAATGGTTAGTTAAATAACATGTATTATTGTGAAACTAGTTGGAGGAGTAAATGGTTGTTATGAAACCATAACTTATTATTAAGAGTTTAAACTTGTATATGGTATATAGTTATTTGTTATCATGCACTGAATCTGTTTGGAGTATACTAGAGTCACTACAAAAAATTTTAATTTTTCCGGGGGTTATTTTTTCCGTTTCCGGCGGTTTTAACCCCTGGAAAATGCATTACCCGCGGTTTAAAAAATCCCTGGGAAAAGCTGCGTCGCTAAGTAATTACTGGCGGTTTTTTGACAAACCGCCGGTATTAGCAGGGTTTTACAGAAACCGCCGGTATTAGCAGGGGTTTTACAGAAACCGCCGGTATTAGCAGGGGTTTTACAGAAACCGCCGGTATTAGTAAGGGTTTTACAGAAACCGCCGATGCTTGCAAGGGTTTTTAGTTTTTGATGGTGATAAAATTCAAATTAATTTTTTAACCACACCGGCAATGAAATATGTACTAAAACTTAATATTATATATAAAATAAACTACAATGTTCAATATATTAATATAATTCATACATTTAATTGTTCATGAAAATTAAAAAAAACAAAAATGTTCAATACTAAATTAAAATAGAAAGATGTTCAAGAACAATGTTGATTTTGATGCATAAAGTTCACAGTAGACCCAACGATCATGTTGTTGCAATGACCCTCTGCAATGAACTTCTCCAACTTGTCCTCGACTTCTCCACCGCTCAAGCCAACTTAGGGATTCTATATTTGTCAAGATGTAGAGATAAGCAAATAATATAACAGTAATTATATCATTCAATTAATGAAAGAAATTAAATAAGGTTTTAATATTCAATCAATAATTTTTTTTAATAAAAAGTGAATTAAAAATATATAAAGAAATGTAAAATTGAATTAAATGTTTAATAAATGAGAATGAGAATGAAAAATGAGTTTGAAGGGAATCATTTATTTACCAAAAGATGATAAAAAAAAGCGAAAGGTAAGTTAATATTAGGACACTGCTTTCTTATCTCAATTCTCAAAGCCAATATGAGTGAAGAAGAATGTTAGCTACATCATCATGCATGTGTGTGAGAGGTCACCAATGTTTCATAATTTTTTTTTCTAGGAAAAACAATATTTTCTGAATATGATTTCACACCGTTGCTAATTTTGTCCTGTAATGCAATGGATGTAATTTGATGCTAGAACATCACCTAGAAACATGACACAAGATAGGACACACTGCAGCCAATTACCGATTCATAAACACTTCAAAAGGAATTATCACTTGAATATCTTAAATTGTTCCACTTATTGTTAATAAACCATATTTATACAATATTTAATGTATCTCAACTTTTTTTACAGCAATACATTTTCACTTGGTGTTAAACTCTTAAGGTTGTCAGATTTATACTATAAAAACAAGTGTTGGATATTAAAAATGTCAAAAAGTTGGGAAAAAGAAGTGAATCCGCTGCCACATGTAGCTGCATATGGTCTTTCAGAGCGTTTAAGGATATGGTTGAGTTGAGTCTTTGTTATGTATGTAGGTATGAGCATTAGAGTGGGGCATTTTTTATGTGGCTAGTGTGATGCAAGCAGTTGGGGGTGACAATGAAACATAATTTCAGTTCATGACCTGCACAACTGCACAACCTCTTACTTGGGAACTTATTTGGGAATTGATCACCTATTGATTTTGCTAAGTGTATCCTAAACACATCTATCCTTGTCACGTGTTTGTTTGCCTCTTGCACAAAGTAGAGCAGTGTTAATGTTTCAATAAAAGTTTACAAGTGAAAAAGAAAACTGCAACCTGACATATCAGCATCTAAATGCTGTAATTTGTACTCTAATACAGCAATAAAATATTTGATCTACCTCAACAACAAAGCTTGCTCATAGTTTGTTCTTCTTTCTTTCCATCATGGCTTTCAATATATTCAATCCAAAACCCCGAATTATGTCAATGATGGGCAGGGAATATACACTGCACCTCACAAAGCATCCGCAACAAAGTAATGCCAATGAATTAAATTTTGCATAGGTAATCCAAATGTTAGATATGTAAAACAAACACTGAATTCTATCTTACCTGTATGAGCATTACGAAGATATCTGAAGAACTTCCATGTGCTGCTACTATCACAACTTTCCCATTTTCTTTAACAGCCTTCAATGTTCTATCAATCTCACTCTGCCTTGATTTTAGAATCAATCATACACAAGTTTTCAATAATGTTATTATAGAAAATCTGATACAAATGCAATCATTTATACAATATTATTTTTGGTTTATCTGTATATTGTTGCAGCATATTAATTGTACACAACAAAAATATAGGTTCAGAGTTCAATATCTCACCTACTGTATCGTACACTACATCAAATTTTTCTTCTAGATCTTCAAGCAGCCCCTTTGTATAATCAATGGCTAAGTTTGCTCCCAAGTTCCTTAACAAGTCCAGTTTCCCAGTACTGGCTGTGGCTGCTACCTTTGATGCCCCAAAAACGTGCTTCGTTAGCTGCATCATCAAACACATACACAACAAATCATTTGGTATGTTCTGAATTGATTTATGTCGATAGTGAGAAAATTTTCAATTCTAGAAGGAATTTAAGAGTGCTCCATAAACACATTATCTTAAAGACATTGTTGTAATAAAAAAATTATTTAATGACAGGGCTGTCAGTTCTCTTACTTATACATACTTGTAAATCTTATTTAGAAAAATCTTATTCTTGAATCAATCTTAAAAGTGTTGAGTCGGTACTAATCACATCTGAATCTCTTGATTACATATATCTGTTGATTATATATATTGTTTCGTGTCCTACTTCAAATGCCCATGTAATGCCACAGTTTTTGCTATCCGCCACACCACTGTTTTAGAACCACATTTTGAACTATCTAAGAAGGGAAAGCTATGAACATAACCACCCCTTCAGTATATTTGTTTGAATTTGATCTGTTATACTGGTCGCTAGATGCAAACTAATATGAATGGAGTTGAAGTACAGATGCATTGGTTCAAACAAATATTAAGATAAGACTAGAAATGCAATGCAAGATTTAAAAGTGAGTACATCTTCATTATTGCTTAATAAGGCAACCTATATTTCTAAAGTATAACCTGGAAGTGTTCGACCACCTGAGAAGCAATTCTACTTATATCAGATGCAGCATAAGCATTCCTCCTAAGCTTTGAAGGATTGAGACTTTCAGCAGCACTGCTTTGTTGACGCATAATTCCTTCAAAAGAAAGTACCAATCAAAATCAATGATGCAATAGTTATATATATTAAGGAACCAAACAAACCAGACATTCACTTCAAGGTTGCCTTCGATATTGACCTTTTCAAAGACTACGAAAATATAAGCAAATAAGTCAAGAAAATATCACTATGAACTAAAAAGTACATAAATATAAAATGTAGCTAGCAAGTTGCAATCTCATCATGTCAAGAATGACAGAGAACTGAGCAAGGTGAACTCACTGATATCTTTCGGGAACATCTAAATTTATTCTGCAACAGGGAAAAATATAAAGTAAGAATATTTGTAAAATCTAGTCAAAGTAGTCAGTGATTAGCTTTGCCGGATCGCGGATAATCGCGGCCCGTCGCTCTTGCTCGGCCTTCATCACAACGAATTTGGACCGCTCAGCCTCCTACTGCGCCACCTGCTTGCGAGAACTCGCTGCCGTAGGAGAGGTGCGAATTTTCTACCACTACAACCTACAGAGAATCACAAGCTCTTCAAAATCGTCATCGGAGAGCTCCTAAAAACGTCAAGGTCGGTGCGCTCTTGATGTTTGTTTTCGAAATTAGAGATTTAGAGAAGAGGAGAAGCAAGAGAATAAGGGATTGGAAAGTAACGAAGGAGTCGAAGATAGAGAAGTAGAGGAGAAGGTGAAGATGGAAACGACCAGAATATCCGAAGTTCTGATGAAAGTATAAAACCAAGTATCGGAAGCGCGATGAGTGCCAAATATTTTAGAAAGTAATGGAGGCGCGGCTTTGAGCGCCAAATATTTTAGATATTTAACTTAACTGAGGTTTTGTATTGAAACCACCAATAATTCGGAGAGGTTTTCAAAACCTCGGGAAAGAAACCCCTACTATAAATCTTTATTTTTGTAGTGATAGTTTAACAATAGTGAAATATTAAATGATTTCTTTATAAATAGTTTTGTTATAAACTAATTTCATTTTAATTTATTTGCTATTATACTAACAATCTATAATTGGCATTAACTTTGAAAATAATTTCTAATGTTCAAGAGACATTAACTTTGAAGAAAACCAAGAAACACCTTTAGACATTGATTATATTTGCACAAATTCCATGGCACCTGAAAAATGAAAACATAAAAAGCGTAAACGAAAAACTAATTACAATTAAATACTAGTACAAAAACACTAGTATAGTAGGGGTTTGACATCAGCATATTTTGGTTTTATTACCTCCAGCTGAGGCATCTAATATCAACTTGGTTTGTGAACCAAGACCTCCAAGGAAAAGTAGAACTACTGTTGCTTCATCAAAACCGTGTATGGGAGTCTTTCTCAATAAGCTTTTGTACCTGTCCCATGCTTGACCTAATGTCTCCTCCATGCCTTGTCTGAAAGAAGAGATCTCTTGCTTCCCTTTGTTGACTTTAGAGCTTTGTTGTTGCCATTGTTGTTGTGGTTGGTTCTCAAATTGTCAGTAGCTTGCCAAAATTGGCTTTGATCCATGCTTGAGTGAGGTTTCCACCAGTGGTTGAGATTACTTTGGTAGAATTGAGTGCCCATATAGTTAAATTCTTGTCCGAATTGCATCCTGCAAGCATTAGGCACAAAACTCTAAAAAATATTTGTTAGCACAAAAAGATAGAGAAGATAGATAAAAAAAATCAAAAGATATAATTGAAAAGATAGGAAGATAGGAAATAAAAACAGAAAATAAAAACAAAAAATAAAAACAGAAAATAAAAACAGAAAATAAAAACAGAAAATAAAAACAGAAAAATAAAATAAAAACAGAAAACTGAAAAATAAAAACAGAAAAATAGAAAATAAAAGCAGAAAAATAAAATTCACAACTCAAAATTAATTAAAAATCACACAAATATACACTAGTTAAACCAGAGTCTCCGGTAACGACACCAAAAACTTGTTTACAATATTTTTGAACCCCGGCAACGGAAATATTTCTATACCCGGCAACGGTGCCAAAAACTTGTTTACCTCTCAACAAGTGTAACCGAATCGTAGCAAGTAATAATCCTGGTAAGACCAAGTATCGTTTCCCAAGAGACTCAAGGCCTAGACACTTATGTGATTAATTAATTAATTAAGATTTGAGAACAAAGTGTTTTAAGTTTCAAATGCAAAAGACTGAAAAGTAAATATGTATGCATATGATGATCAAGAAGAAACAAAAGCGTGAATTGAAATATATGGATGAATATGTTGTTGGGGTTTATCAAGTTAATCTTTTCCTCTCTCTTATATTTAGGAATTCATCAATCTTTTCATTAATGTTAATGCCACTTTCTAAATTACTTTAAACCCGATCTCTCGGCGAAGAAAGCCTAATCATAGTCACTAGTTTACAATCTCTTGTCTCCCTAGCAATTAATCATGCATTATAGTGAACAGAAGCTTAAAGGCAACCAACTATCATACTCCTATCTCTAGATCGGTAATATACTGTTGGGAGAGATTCCCCAGATCTAGACTTCCCCGTACGTTTCCGTATCGACAAAACCAATAATCATGACATTGAATGAGTTAAACTATGCATGCTTTGAGAANCAATGACCCTCTGCAATGAACTTCTCCAACTTGTCCTCGACTTCTCCACCGCTCAAGCCAACTTAGGGATTCTATATTTGTCAAGATGTAGAGATAAGCAAATAATATAACAGTAATTATATCATTCAATTAATGAAAGAAATTAAATAAGGTTTTAATATTCAATCAATAATTTTTTTTAATAAAAAGTGAATTAAAAATATATAAAGAAATGTAAAATTGAATTAAATGTTTAATAAATGAGAATGAGAATGAAAAATGAGTTTGAAGGGAATCATTTATTTACCAAAAGATGATAAAAAAAAGCGAAAGGTAAGTTAATATTAGGACACTGCTTTCTTATCTCAATTCTCAAAGCCAATATGAGTGAAGAAGAATGTTAGCTACATCATCATGCATGTGTGTGAGAGGTCACCAATGTTTCATAATTTTTTTTTCTAGGAAAAACAATATTTTCTGAATATGATTTCACACCGTTGCTAATTTTGTCCTGTAATGCAATGGATGTAATTTGATGCTAGAACATCATCTAGAAACATGACACAAGATAGGACACACTGCAGCCAATTACCGATTCATAAACACTTCAAAAGGAATTATCACTTGAATATCTTAAATTGTTCCACTTATTGTTAATAAACCATATTTATACAATATTTAATGTATCTCAACTTTTTTTACAGCAATACATTTTCACTTGGTGTTAAACTCTTAAGGTTGTCAGATTTATACTATAAAAACAAGTGTTGGATATTAAAAATGTCAAAAAGTTGGGAAAAAGAAGTGAATCCGCTGCCACATGTAGCTGCATATGGTCTTTCAGAGCGTTTAAGGATATGGTTGAGTTGAGTCTTTGTTATGTATGTAGGTATGAGCATTAGAGTGGGGCATTTTTTATGTGGCTAGTGTGATGCAAGCAGTTGGGGGTGACAATGAAACATAATTTCAGTTCATGACCTGCACAACTGCACAACCTCTTACTTGGGAACTTATTTGGGAATTGATCACCTATTGATTTTGCTAAGTGTATCCTAAACACATCTATCCTTGTCACGTGTTTGTTTGCCTCTTGCACAAAGTAGAGCAGTGTTAATGTTTCAATAAAAGTTTACAAGTGAAAAAGAAAACTGCAACCTGACATATCAGCATCTAAATGCTGTAATTTGTACTCTAATACAGCAATAAAATATTTGATCTACCTCAACAACAAAGCTTGCTCATAGTTTGTTCTTCTTTCTTTCCATCATGGCTTTCAATATATTCAATCCAAAACCCCGAATTATGTCAATGATGGGCAGGGAATATACACTGCACCTCACAAAGCATCCGCAACAAAGTAATGCCAATGAATTAAATTTTGCATAGGTAATCCAAATGTTAGATATGTAAAACAAACACTGAATTCTATCTTACCTGTATGAGCATTACGAAGATATCTGAAGAACTTCCATGTGCTGCTACTATCACAACTTTCCCATTTTCTTTAACAGCCTTCAATGTTCTATCAATCTCACTCTGCCTTGATTTTAGAATCAATCATACACAAGTTTTCAATAATGTTATTATAGAAAATCTGATACAAATGCAATCATTTATACAATATTATTTTTGGTTTATCTGTATATTGTTGCAGCATATTAATTGTACACAACAAAAATATAGGTTCAGAGTTCAATATCTCACCTACTGTATCGTACACTACATCAAATTTTTCTTCTAGATCTTCAAGCAGCCCCTTTGTATAATCAATGGCTAAGTTTGCTCCCAAGTTCCTTAACAAGTCCAGTTTCCCAGTACTGGCTGTGGCTGCTACCTTTGATGCCCCAAAAACGTGCTTCGTTAGCTGCATCATCAAACACATACACAACAAATCATTTGGTATGTTCTGAATTGATTTATGTCGATAGTGAGAAAATTTTCAATTCTAGAAGGAATTTAAGAGTGCTCCATAAACACATTATCTTAAAGACATTGTTGTAATAAAAAAATTATTTAATGACAGGGCTGTCAGTTCTCTTACTTATACATACTTGTAAATCTTATTTAGAAAAATCTTATTCTTGAATCAATCTTAAAAGTGTTGAGTCGGTACTAATCACATCTGAATCTCTTGATTACATATATCTGTTGATTATATATATTGTTTCGTGTCCTACTTCAAATGCCCATGTAATGCCACAGTTTTTGCTATCCGCCACACCACTGTTTTAGAACCACATTTTGAACTATCTAAGAAGGGAAAGCTATGAACATAACCACCCCTTCAGTATATTTGTTTGAATTTGATCTGTTATACTGGTCGCTAGATGCAAACTAATATGAATGGAGTTGAAGTACAGATGCATTGGTTCAAACAAATATTAAGATAAGACTAGAAATGCAATGCAAGATTTAAAAGTGAGTACATCTTCATTATTGCTTAATAAGGCAACCTATATTTCTAAAGTATAACCTGGAAGTGTTCGACCACCTGAGAAGCAATTCTACTTATATCAGATGCAGCATAAGCATTCCTCCTAAGCTTTGAAGGATTGAGACTTTCAGCAGCACTGCTTTGTTGACGCATAATTCCTTCAAAAGAAAGTACCAATCAAAATCAATGATGCAATAGTTATATATATTAAGGAACCAAACAAACCAGACATTCACTTCAAGGTTGCCTTCGATATTGACCTTTTCAAAGACTACGAAAATATAAGCAAATAAGTCAAGAAAATATCACTATGAA